GATAATTTCAGGGATGGGGCAGCCACAGCTCCTCTGGGAATTCCATTCCAGCCCCTCACCACCCTCCCAGACAAGAATTCCTTCCCAATATTCCATCTGACCCTCTGGCAGTAGGAAGCCATTCCCTGTGTCCTGTCCCTCCATCCCTTGTCCCAGGTGCCTCTCCAGCTCTCCTGGAGCCCCTTTAGGCTCTGGAAGGTGCTCCAAGGTCTCCCTGGAGCCTTAGAGAAGAGCAACACGTGGATGTTCCAGTGGAGGAAACTTCCAGGGGATACAAGGACCAAACTTTTCTCTGAAGGTGATCAGATGTTACACAAGGGACTCAGAGAAATGGTGGGATCTCCATCCTTGGAGATATCCAGATCAGCTGGAGAATCATGGAATCACTGAGGTTGGAAAAGACCTCCAGGACCATCGGGTCCAACCTTTGACCCACCCCCACCTTGTCCCCCAGCCCAGGGCACTGAGTGCCACGTCCAGGCCTTCCTTGGACACCTCCAGGGATGGGGACTCCAAACCTCCCGGGACAGCCCCTTCCAAGGCCTGACCACCCTTTCCATGAAGAAATTCCTCCCTGCTGTCCAACCTGACCCTGCCCTGGCACAGACTGATGCTGTGTCCTCTTGTCCTGGGAGAAGAGACCAACCCTGAACATCCTGTTCTAATTTTAAAAATCTGAATTTATCTTCAATTTTGATATACTTTAAGCACAGCTCCAGACCGGAGGTTGCCAGAGGTCCCTTCCAGCCTCCATCATCTTTGGATTCCATGAAAAACAGAAAAACCTGGAAAATTCAAAGTTGGCTTCGAGCGCTGGCCCTTCACGGGTATCCTGGTTAAAAAACCGCTTTCCCAAAACTCCTTCCCGGCTCCAGTTGTGACTCTGCTCATCAGTTCGTGTCCCTTCGGGGTGCAATCACATCTTATTAATTTGAAATCGCCCAAATAGTCATTACCCTGATAATTGTCTGCTTAGTAAATACACTCATCCCCGAGGGCTTATTGAGGCTTTATCTACTCCTGGGTGACCCGAGGGGCTATTGATTATTTGCTCGTTAGTCCTCATTAACTTTGGGGTTTTAATAAACAATTGGGAGATAATCCAGGCGCCAGCAGAAGTTTTTCCTGGGAAACATCGCTCACCTCCTTCAGAGGGGACGGCCAACAACAAAAAAAAATGATGTTTGTTTGCAGGTCTTTGAGGGAGAAAAGGGAATTTTGGAGTTGGTTTCGGGAGTTTTTTATCACCTGGGCTCGTTTCTGCCTTGTGGTGTCATCCAACGATGTGCTCCAAGCAGGAAAACATCCTGAAAGTGGTGCCTGAATCCCCCAGTTGGAAAATTCAGCTCACTTTCAGTGGGATCCCTG